ACTAATCCATGTTGAGATCAATTACACTGAAGTTAGAATTTCAAGCTAATTACACGAAATACAACGTGATGTTAAATCAATTAATTTAATAATCCCATTGAATACTCACTCAATAGGATTCAGTCAATACTCTAAGCAATACACATGGCATGATATCGATTAATATTATTCATAAACATGTCAATGAAACGAGATTAAATTTATTTAAATTGCACTAAATTATTATTATAAGGCGTATTAAGAATATGACAAAATTTGAATTTATAAAGTGGTCATCATTCATTCCAAAATATAATAAACATAAAAAGATTTAATAGTTGAATTCATGAGTTAATTAAAACGAGACCATCATGGGAAACCTGGAAGCACTGGACGTCCGCGCATCCACGATCCCGCCTCGCGAGAAGCAGTAACCAGTGGAGTTCAACCAAGTCTGTTGTGAGATAGTAACTCACTGAAGACAATGATGGATGTGTCGCTCAATTTCATGGATTAGTTGAAGTTAGACATGAACACAGTTGGATGCCGGCTCAATGGTCTATAGGTCACGCGCGAGACTGATAGCTCCTGGGTTCGAATCTCGCGAGGTCGGATAGTGGATGAGCACTACCGAGGATTCCCATAATAGGACGAAACGGCCGTCCAGTGCTTCCAGGTTTTCTATGATGGTCTAGCTTCAATTGACTCATGATCTCAGCTATTAAAATTACTAATTTATTACTTTTATTTTCTGTGAACACTAAAAAAGTGGTTATTGGAAAAAGATTATCATCATAGTGAAATCCACTGACTGTAGCTACATGAAGTTCGAACTAGTGTTCTTACGTGGTAATATGAAGGATGTTATTCACTTAACTAATTTAGTGACTTTCAATATGCCCTCATAATAAATAATGTTAATTTAAACACATTACAGTATTCGATATGATTAATGGGGGTTTGATTTGATAATACAGTGTTTATTTTTAACAATCTAACATATTTCATAATTGAGGTAAAATTATTGTTAAATTAGCAACTGAAGTTTAGTAGCGGAACTGATGAATTATTATTTAAGTAATTTACTGGTCTGTGGCTTAGATCGAACAATGAATTCGTTTTAATATATCCTTATCTCTCATTTGAAGTTCGAAATAATAGTAATGGTGTGATGTATGTTGCTTACGTCGACATAAGAGATATATATGAAACCAACCAGAAGTGGAATGCCTGGCAGCAGAAGGTTGGGAAGATTGAGTCCAAGAAAACGGGGATAGAGAGTAATTTTTATAGTAATGAAGGAACTCTGAAGTTTGAGATAATTGATAAAGGATTTGCAAATAAAGTATTGAACGTATGGTTTTCACGTTTGACGAAAGAACTCTGTAATTTTGTATTAGAATACAATTGGTTATCCTCACCCGTGTTTTCTTTCATTACATTAGTAGTGGTAATGATTATGTCTATAAACACACCTTTGAAATAATGCTTTCTTTTATTAATAAATTAGTAGCTAGATATCAGCAGATCAATGTATAGAAAAAATTGAATTTTGAACAATGTTCTGGATCCAAAATAAATGATTTCTAGGTTATAAAAATGCAAAATAAGTTTAATTCCTATTTGATTGACCAGTAACAGTAGCTGTTATATTCACATAAAACAACTTGAATATTTTTTTTATAAATATTTCAATTACACTATCCACAAAATGTTCTAATGAAAATGGACTAAATTAAATGATCCTATATGCTTATTAATCAAATACAGTGAACTAGAGAGTCTTTATAAGGTCTTTTTAGGAATATTTTTAGTTAAGAATTTTTCACATTCCGAACGATCACTGACAGTGCAATTTCTATTTGACATATTCCTGAGATAATTGATGTAAAAATACAGACCGATCGGTAATCACTCAGGCATTTAATGTATTAAAGTAATGTCATAAACAAAAACGTTACTGTGAACAAGTTAAAAGGAACTAAGTCTAAATCAATTATTTAGATGTTCACCGTTCTAATCACTTGAATATCCATACATATGCACGATTTTTAGGTAATGTTTCGTCAACAGAGGTTCCTGAAAAGTTGTTTACAAAACTCTGTCCATCAAACGATAAATAGTTTTTGTCAATAGTCAATAATTGTTTCAAATTTTTCAGTTTTAATTATCACGCTTATCATGTCTGTTTTAGTTTTTTGTTCTATATCTCGTACATTGATTTATTGAATGATTAAAATATGTTTGTATTTTTGCTTATTTTTAAATAAAGAACTATTCGGTCAATTTCTTTATATTCTCAAACCAGGGTTTTGTGGAGATTTTAGTAATTTTATATAGTTGAAATCATGAGTCAATTGAAGCTAGACCATCATGGAAAACCTGGAAGCACTGGACGTCCGTTTTGTCCTATTATGGGACTCCTCAGCAGTGCTCATCCACGATCCCGCCTCGAGAGATTCGAACCCAGGACCTATTATTCTTTTTATTCAAAAAATCTTGGTTTATTTACTATGGTTGTTTTATGGAAATTCAAAGTCAGAGAGTTATATGATATCGTGAATTGAATGAAACTACAGACATGACAATACAGCTACTTAAAAGTAGCATGCTCGCTACAAAATGTAAATGTTCTGGTTTCACTTGCTAATATGGTAGGATATTCCCACTGCTGAGAGATCTCAAATAGTTCATCGGTTGACATTAGTCTGTGAAGTAAACTAACTATAATAAAATAATAATAAATAAAGCTGATTATACTTGTTGAGTCTTAACAATATAGGTTAAAAACATTTTCATATTTGTCAAATATTTCCTGACTAACAAAAACACAATCTTAATCATGTTAATACATGATTTATTATCAATTTTAAGGTTTCTTTTAATAAGGAAAAAACCTCAGCTTTCTGTAATAAATCATAAATCTGACTCATTGTCTAATCCTATTTTAAGACTATGAAGTTCTTTTCACATGATTTGATATTAGTTATTAGGATAATAAAAAATGACTGACATCACAATTAACTACTAAAACAATAATTTAAAAATAACTGAATCTATTAAACAGATAATAACATTCTGATCCTATTCATGTGCGTCATAATTTAATAATTAATGTTTAATCTTTTTCTTGCTTAGGACTATGGTGATAGTTTACATGTATGACTAAGTGATGCAAATGTACATGTTTAAATATTTGGTAAAACATTAATTTATTATAAGCAGAGATGGATGGCGGCTAATAATGGGATCCAAGACGCCCGTTTCATCCTATTTTGGGACTCGTCAGTATGATGTACCTTTATGCCAGATTTGATATAAACTCCAGGACTCGAACCCAGTACCGTTCACTTCAAATACCATCACGTTATTCACTTAGCTACTGAGTCCAGATAGCCACTAGCTTGTACAATTGGGTGAAGTTTCATTCTTTTTTGTATTGTTTGTTTGAATCTTCACATTGATTTTTAGAACTGTAATTGATCAGTATCTTGAAGCGAACGGTATTGGGTTCGAGTTTTGAAGTGAATATCAAATCTGGGATGCAGGTACATCCAGATGACAGGTCCTAAATATGACGAAACGTGCGTCTTGGATTCCACTGCTAGCAACTATCCATCTGTGCTTAGAATGCTTATGATTTAAGACAATATCGATACGATTCAAACTGGATGCACATATGCCAGTAAGAGACTGATCAGTTACAGTCCTAAACATCAATGGGAAGATTCAAACAACCAACAACAAAATTGATTAAAATATTAGGTGATTTAGTGAGATACGATAGTTATCAAATAATAAAACTACTGGACAGACAAAGAAGTTATAGATCGCTATAACGTACCATTACGGAACTCCTCAGCAGTTGTTTAACTACATTCTATTCGTGATATAAGCATTATTCAAAATTAAGAATCCTCATAAAGTTTTTATACCAATAACCTAATTTCGTTTTATTAATTTAAAAGTTAATACATTTGATTATTATATGATTTACAGATTAACTTAACGTCTAATCGGACAAATTATGGGTGGTAGGATGTAAAGGAAATCAAAATAAATGACTACATCTTATTCATAAGACTTATAACTGTAGTCAGTTTTTAATTAGAACAAATAGTGATTAGATCTGTTTACTATTAAGCAGATGAACATATCGAACATGTAAAAGTTTCTGTGTATCATCGAACTCCTTTAAACACTAACTTGAAACTAATTCACACAGTAAATAGTTGGCGGTTTATAGTTAGGTGACTTATTAATCTATACTTAGAATAATTTAGATGTCTTCAGAATATATCTAATACAACAAGTGTTAGAATCAGGTTTGTTGATAACGTGTCAGTTGTTCAGACACGGTCTAGATGACATATTAATAATTAAAACAGTAAGTTATCTGAACTAGTACAAATTTTTAAATCTATATAAATACAACAATTTAGACGAATAACATTTATGCCGAGAACAGGAATGTTCTAATCATATCCTATTTTAATTATCTATGGGAATTTACAATCTAAAACTATATAACAGCACAAGTGATTGATAAGATTACTGGCACGAACTAATATCATAGGTTCTGAATGGATATGGTGATATAAATATATATATAGCATCTAAGTATTAGATTTAAAATATTTAGTCGGGATAGAATGTTTTTGTCAGACAATCAATGAATAAATAAAAGTAAAAATCAAGGTAACCAATCATTTTTCACTTCTGTTTTTTTTTATATCGCTTAGTATCTCACTTTCAATTAACTTGTAAAAATCAAAAATCGTACCATCCTTTATAATTTATTTGGTAAATATAATCATTGTATAAGATGTCAATATGTATTCGAATTTATTTTTTTTTGTTGAAAAATTTTATATCTGAAGGTAACAGATTCAACCTTGATATTGATATTTATAGACCATAGTGACTTAATTATTCTAATTAATCATAAGAATTAGATTTTGTTTTCTAACTCATTTGAAGTGTTATGTATATATATATTTTTTTTATTTTCAAAATTTCAGGTTATTTAATTAATCTTAGAATATTAATATTGGATACAAATGAACTGCATAGTCTACCATCTGAAATTGGTTCATTGACACAATTAGAAAAATTATCTGCCTCAAATAATCAATTGAAAAGTTTACCAACATCAATAGAGAGATTAAAGCAAATGAAAAGTCTACATTTGGCAAATAATTTAGTAATAACAAGGTTTTTTGAAAAAAAATATAACAGTTTATGATGAGTAGTTCTGTTTATTTAACTATTTATATTAATGCAATTTACTACTACTACTACTTCTAGCATTAAAATAAAGTAATAAATATATCAGATAGATGGATTGCATTTGTAAAATGCTATGAATCTAGGTCATTCACTAGTTGCCCTCGAAACTTCCACATGTACTTTGCTAATAACAAGTGATGATAATTGCAATTAGGACCATTATTTTATTTGACTTGGTGAATAATAATATAAAAAAAACCATAGTCTTTGAACAAATTAGTGTTTTTCTGGACTAAGTTACTCATTTTCTAATGCTCTGGTGTTTGAAATTGAATGTACTGAGTTCTGGTTTTATTGTGATCATAAACACTGGAATGTATGCTCATCCCACTCATGAATCCTAAATAAGATGAAAAATCACTTCCACAATCAACGTATACTAAAAATTTAAAACTGAAATATCGTGAAAAGATCACGTAAAGCCAAAATTTCATACATTTCCACTTTCAGACTGAAGAAATGTTTCAGGATCCATTCAACAAAAAATTAACTTTCGATTACTAATGTCTACTTTTAAGATAAATTTACGAATTTCTAACGAAATCGGTAGATTGTGAAATCAATTTTCTCTGAGAGGAAACAATCATTACTGTCATCTTTATAGGATGTGGATTCATGACCTTAAAGATGATGTATTCATTGTGAGTAATTTAGGACTTGTATTTGATGCCATATAAGATTGTAGAAGTTTACTACTTTAAAGTCCTACCTAAAAATGAAATAATTGTTCACTGCTCTCTGATTTTAATTGATTTTTCAGCATAAGTGACATAATGAAAACTATCACTTAACCAGATAACCTAGAACAGTTTATAATCACACTAGTTAACATATGATAAAATTTAATTTAGTATTTTCATAAAAGTCAAGTTGTACATATGAATTTTATGATGTAGACAAAACAAAAAAGTTTCAGGTGATCAGTTAATGACTCATTTATCAATCTAGTCTACTTATTAGATGAACACCCTAGACTACTTATTTTAAATAATAGTTTTATTTTTGCGTCACAAAATAATTGATCAATTTAAACACACTAATCATTGATAAATGATTCATGTATTTATATTAAATGACCTGGAAAATATCAATTATCATATTAGAACAATGAATTGAACATTCATTTATATTATCAATTCTCTGGTTCCAAATAATGGTTATGGTTTATTGAAATGTGATTAAAACAGTCACTAGGCTAATTAAATTTACTAGGTTATTTCTATAAACATTTGTCATGTGTGAAATTATTACCGATCCAGTCAAAAAATATTGATCGTGGTTAACAAAGTGGTAAGCGATTGAAAGTGATCACTTAATAAGGCTTAATAAATAAGGGATCACTTTACAAGTATTCATTCCTAGTATGGAACTTTTCATTACAGCTCCTTGATCTTCAATGGTGCTCGAACTAATTTCAGTCGATAATAAATACCAGGTACATTTTATATTTGCTATTGTCGGTAAAGACATACTGCTTGTACATGGTCAATTTTATCGCTAAACACGTAGTTAAATAAGACAGAAGATGGATTTTTTTTTAAATATACATAATTCTAATCTTCAGGGAAAGTTGAATATAGCGTCACCTGCGGAGTTGTTTCTGTCTACAATTGGTCAACAGATAATTGTGTTACTGCTTATAAGAGAGAAAAGTTAACCCTTAAATTTCTCATAATTCCCATTGATAAGCTATGAAATGTTTTAATCCTATCTTGGGTAGTTTAACGTTGATACATAGAACTTTGATAATTCATAAAGTCATATTTAGTTTCACAAACAGCATGAACTTCTTTGAACTTGTAGATAGTATGGGTACATAAACCACAAAAAATTCATACTTTCTTATCGTTTACCTCAGATAATCAAGCAATGGGTCATGCGTATAAAGCTCCTTAGCGTTCAAACTATCGTGATATTTCTACAAAAATATCTCTATTCCATGTTCTTTTTAAAAATTGAATTATGTGCTAAAAGCATTTTCGAAAAACTAATATTCTATCGAAAGATCTATTATATGTCTGCATATCATTCTAAATAGAATATTTGATCGTGTGCGTTATAACTAGACTGAAAAAAAAAATCGGTAAACAATCAGTTACCGACTCTTCATACTAATTAATAATTGCATCTATCCATACTTTGAAACTAATAATATTAATTGGTTTTTATTATCCAATTAAAACGCGGTGACATATCATTCAAATGATCAATACTTTAATATGTTAAAACCGTTTTTATAGCCTAGTGTTCCAAATCGATCAACTATACACCAGATCAGCACTATTGACCATGAGCTGATGCAGATAAGTTCCTGTTGGTCGGTTATTCGTAAGCTTCTCTCTATTCCTAAAAGTCAGCAATCAGCTTCTACAACATATATTGCAAAGAGATGTGGTTTGTATACAGATGTACCGGACCTCATCACATCATAAAATGAAAAAGAATAATTATACATAAAAAAGTAAAGTGGCTATGAATAGGGAAGACTGTAAGTAATAGACCGGTAACAAATCAGGAATAGTAAGTCGTATGATAGTAGTTCATGAGTTAACAGAAAACTTTTGATAAACAGAACACATAGGCATGATAATCTAGTTACTCAGTAATTATACAATACGAATATAAATAATAACATATAAATTAGCTATAGGAGTTACCATTCCTTCAATCTTCGTTCTGATATCAACTTGTTTTTATCGTATATGTCATTTAAGAAAAAACTGATTGATTGATGCGGTAACGAATTTTAATGCGTTTAGATAATAATTGTCAATAAAATTGAACTTGATAACCTTTACATTTGAATGATGGCTGTCAGTATAAATCACAAATAAATAGTATTACAAGTGAGAAGCATTTACTATTCGCATATTGTACTGTAAGGGAACTATTATTTTTATGACAAGAAATGTAGTCCAACATAGACATAGGAGTTATCCTTCAAAATCGCACATAGAATCTATCTTTGTTGGCAGTGCTCGAGGTGTATTTGACGATAACGTGATCATAACCTATATCGTGAGGATAGTATTCTTTGTACAAGTGTTTTTAAGAGTTGTTTCTAGTCGGTTTAACTAATTACTTAAGCACATCCTCTTTGGATTTCCAGTAATTTTAAAAAAGAGTGATGAACACACGCATTCAGAGAGCACTTCTGCTAGGGTAGAGAAATACTTTATTAAAAATACTAATGGTCATTTAGCAACCTTTTTTCACGGCATAGCCCGAAATTTAGACTATTTTATTATTGTATGCTATGAAAAAAGCTTTAAACTATATATTTCGTTAAATTAACTTCCCCCCACCTCTTGTTTTTATTTTTATCTAACTTTTTTTAAAAACAACTAATAACCACAGTTTGCTGAATTTCCTAAACCAATATTGAAATTAACGAAGTTGGAGTTCTTAGATTTAAGCAGTAATCATTTGGAAACTTTACCATCGTCTATAACTGATTTAATCAATTTAGAAAGTTTATTATTATTCGACAATCGTTTGACCAGTTTACCAGAGGATATTGGTGAATTACGAAATATAAGATGTTTATGGTTGGGTGATAATAAACTGGAAAGTTTGCCACAATCAATTGTTGAACTACGTGGATTGATATGGTCACCATTATTATCACCAAGTACAACAGTTGGTGGAAACCCTTTAAGAGACCCACCGATTAAAGTAAGTGTTTCTGGTGAATTTTTATTAAGTATTTTTGTGTAATGGTTGAGATATATACTTTCCTGATGTTCACATAATAGTACAATATTTTCTTTAAAGGAATATGAACTAAATATTGGATGATGTAGCAAAGCTAAAGGGAAAACTGATTAAAACCGGTCAAAACACGATCATACGTTCCTAAAACCCATTGAACCCAGAATTCGTAGAAGAATGTAATATATTTATACTTTCTGTGGTTAGGGAAGATTTAGTAAACTACCTCCAACATCCATATCTCTTCTTCATTACTTGGATATCTACTTTCTGATTATTTACACACTTCACCGCATAGTGTTGTGTAATTTTTGATGACAATGATCGTCTTCTTTAATAAACTCTTCCTTCAAATCTCAACCTGTCTTGAATACCGTTATCATAACACCTACCACTATTTCTTTTATTTAATATTAGATGTATAGTCTACATAACCGTTATCACTGATGGATGACATTATTAAAAAAGGGATTATTGCTCCTCTGAACACTTTCATTAGACCTTGAAACTAATCAGACTTATATAGGTACATTCAAACATTTGTTCTAGTAAAAGAACATTTAACTTCTGAAATGAAAAAGAGTACGTTGTTAAAACTTACCGTTTCATCTGTAATGAAAATAATTTTTTTGGGAAACTCAGAAAATTCAACTTTATTTTTAGTATTTTCAACGTTTAAATCTAAGGTTATCGATAATGAGATAACTGCGAGTCACGTTAGATGAATTTACGCTCGTATATATCGTACATGTAACATGCTGTTTTAGGAAATAATGATTTTCACTCGAATGTATAATATCGTAAAGCAGTACTATCCAGATTTATTTGAAATACTATGCCTTTAAACAGTGATGTAACGACAAAATTCTATCATTATATTTCAGGTATGCAGTGCAGGACTAGAAGAACTGGATAGATATTTCGGTGTGGAAATAATTAAATGAATCTACGCAGGCAAACAAATACAATTCTGTAACAATTATACACCATAAGTGACTAGTACTTATCTGGACAAAATTTACTCCTCCATTGAACATAGTAAACAATTTATTGACATTTTCACAGATATATATATATATATATATATAGATAGATAGATATATGCTAACCATACATACACATAAATAATCGAGATTACGCTTACTAACAAGAGTATGAATACGCACTAAACTTTGCATATCTCACTAGACACGCTTGTGATGAATACACTATAATAGTCAGCAGCTTTGTGTAACGACATAAGTTTGAATTAAGTCAATAGGAACATAAATCATTGTAAGCAATCTACCTTTAATTTTAGAGATGACGTGACACTGACAAACTAAACACTCAACAAGAAACCTATTAATGTATGAATTGAGATAAAAACATTTCAAACTAACATCATACTGGATGTAAAGTGTTGCCCTTTGATGAGACTGAAAGCATAGGTTTGTTTGTTTTCTTTTTGATACATAAGGGAAGAGTGAAGATGTGATATTACCTTTTTTGATAAGATTCTGCAGTTCTGAGTAGGGATACAAGTTAAACAACTTTTCTTTGCAGTTTTCGAACTATTTTTGCTAGTCAAATGTACAAAAGACACTCTGAAATTGTGTTATTGGGTGACACAGTATTTCTCCACATAACTCTTCAAATTACATTTAAAAAATGTTCATTGTAGGTGAAAGTTTGTGAACTGATAAACGATAGATATGACAATTTAACGATAATTACGATACATTTATGCTACTTTAGGACTATTTTATTTAGCAATTATTATTTTTTTAAAATACACCCTAATTATGTGTGTTTCCATATAGTTTACGTAGATACAATTTACAAAAAAATATTTCGTTTTGTATTCTTGTTTCCTTAAGCTTCTAAAGTTCACATGATGACAGAAGCTTAAGAAGTGAGACACAGAACTCACTAATCTTCATAATCATATAAATTAGACAAAATAATTAGTCCTAACCGGGATAAAAAAAGACCTTACAAACTTTTTTTGTATTTTTATAAGTAGTTTACTTGGCAAAATAAAGAAAATCCATAATTACACTACACAACACCAGTTATAAGTACTAAGTTCATTCACAAGGTGGGCAAGGAATTTAATTTACTACTTAGTTGTGATATACACTAATTTATACAACTACAATATACCTAACAATGCTTCCAATGGAAATGTTAGTTTTTCTTAGTTCTTAATAGATTCCAGTGAAATCACGAACCAATCTGAGTCAGACCACCATTGAGAACTTAGGAGCACTGAAAGACATTCCGTCCCTGTATAGAACTCCTCAGCAGTGCACATCCACGACCCCGAACGTGAGGCACGAATCCAGGACCTTCGGTCTCGAGCGAATGCTTAACCCATAGACCACTGAGCAGACATCCAATAGTGGTAATGTCTAACTTCAATCAATCCACTATATTGCATGATCATCTTTCATTGTCTTCGGTGATTAACTGCCTCACACCGACATCCACTAGCGCCACTAGGCACGACTTATCACTAAAATTGAGGAAATCTCCTATCGGAGCTAGTCACTAGTGAGGACAAGATCGGGGATGTGCACTTCCGAGGTGTTACATACTACAACGAAACGCCCACCCAGTGCTTCTAGGTTTTAAATGGTGGTATGACTTAGGTCGGTTCACGATTTTAATGATATTCAACAATCTCAACAACCCGATAATTAAATATATTTATCAATAAGTATCTAACTTTGGTATGGTTTGCATGTTTTTTGTAATAGCAAGCCAGTACATTAGGCAACTATTGTATTTTATCAATTACTTAAGAGAAATCCAAAACACGAGAATTTCGTTGCAATATTTTCAATTGCGAAACAGGTGGCATGCAAGTTTCCTTTTTGGGCCACCAAACAAGGAGTAATCTATTGACCAAAATACCAGTCAAATGTTTTACTTTCTAGACAAAAAGTATGAGATAGGAGGAAAGAGGTTAATTTGTAACAACAAATTGATTTAATTTGAAAAATCCCTAAAACAAATACAGCATATACAGTATACATGTACATAAGTACGTAGGTAGTATAAGACAATTGTTCGACCTACAATAAAAAATTTTAAAAAACAAAAACAAAAAAGAAACTAATTCTTCTCTATGCGCACACATCAAAAGAAAAAAAAATGTTAGGGATATTTACAGTTAAGTAAACCATTAAAATATTATGTAAGGCACAAGTGAATTACGTGTGCGTTTATTTTTCTATGTACAGTATATATATATATATATATATATATATATATATATATATATAACAATTGTTTAACTGGAACACGTTTTACTAGACCAGCAAGGATACTACTGTAGTACTTAAAATGATGGAATGTTTAAGGTATAAACAAGGTCATAAAATGCATGTAATCAATTATTTGGACAAAATAAACATGTGAAAAATTGGGTAAAGAAGGAAAACAAAGTGGGGAGATAACATTAAAAAAGACAAACACACAAGAAAAATTGGCACGATAACACCCTAATAAAAGGCTTAAAAATCAGAGTGGTAAAAATCACTATGCATAAGCCTTTAAAAAACCTGGATAGCAAAACAACTCAAGGCCGTTAATAATTGTGGTAATATTAGTCATTATACAAATAGATTTAGTTCTAGTCGATAAATGCACTAAGTTTATTTACAAATACTTTGCAAAGAGAGGAAATGATCCAATAGAACTACTTTTTAAATGTTGATCGTAGAAAAAAGCAAGAAAGGAAATAGTGTTGACTGAAAGCAATTCTTCACTATAATCAACTTCACAAAATCCTCCTTAAGAAATCGGGAATAGACTGCAACTACTACTGTTATGTGGTGAATTATGGCTAGTCGATGGTGGTGGACTACTATTACCAGATGATTGCACAAGGAATTGTTGTTGAAGTCGACACGAAGTATCCACACTAGTACTTTTTGGTATTAACCGCATGGTATTAGCAATGTTGGTCATTTTTAAGTTAGTTGACAACTGTCCAGGGTCGAATCTCTTTGAATTCATCGGAGACGATGAAGTAAGCTCACCGGGAACAGGTAAAGACCTGCGTAGAGAAAAGAGATGAGAGGAATTATTCGAAAAACCCTGATCCCCAAAAAAGACTAGATCTATATCACGTTGTGATGGGGCACTACGACTGAGATTAGACGTATTGAAACACCTAGGTGATGAAATGAGACAACCCTGAAATTTGTCTCTTTTTATGTAGCTTGTGTTTAAGCTTTCATTGCTATGTGAGCGCAATAAATTAACAGGTAGACTAGGTTTTCGACAGTATGAAAGAGATTTTGAACACCCTGTAGGAACAACCTGGGTTTCAAATGATTCAATCCCAACAGTATTCGCATTACATTTCTGCAACTGTTCGTATTCAAGCTTTGGTTCTTGAGATATTGGGTTGGAAGGACTAAGCTCTCTTACTCTAGATGAACTAGTTGATGGCAAGTTACTTGGTAAACGAAATGCTCCATGTGCATGCAAAATACTACGGTAAACTGGATGACTTCCGTCAGTAGATACTGGTCTTGGGGTCGGTGGTGCACTTGCATGTGAAGAAAGACGACGCTGAGCAAGCAAAGTTGGTCTTGCGGTACCAACAGTCGATGATGAACGACGAAGTCTAAGAATACTAGCTGGTGAAAGTGTAGTGGCTAAGTGGATGGGATGTGGTGGCATAACAGTTGAGCATGGTTCAAATCTCAAAGTTTGTAAACTTGTATAAGATGAAAGAAAAGGTTTGAATTTAAGCATCTGTATGACAGATTCAGGACCCGGAAGCACATGTCCAGGAACAAAAGACGATGGAGCTCGAGAAACAGATAGTAAAGAGCGATACTCTTCTAAGGGTGAAGATATCTCTAGCTTGGACAATCCAGTGCAAGGAGATGGTAATAATGGATTAGAAGATTGAGTAGGTGACAATAACGCTGAGACTCTGCTACGTTTTTCTTCAGTTGGACTCATTCCAGACTCGAGAATTGGCCTAACCGACCCCCCACAATGTAGCGAACTTTTTCTAACAGGTTTTTCTGAAACTCCTGCAAAAGACGACGAAGTAGCTTCCAAACCAAGGTATGTTGGTCTTTCCCGTTTCTTAGATAACACCTTCGGAGACGTTGGAGTTAAATTTAGTGAAAATGATGACGAATGAAGACCAGACTTTAACATAGAAGAGCTTTGTATCTCTGTGGACATGCTTCGGATTGAACACAAACTAGTGCTATCGATTGGAATAGAAGCTTCACTACAACCAGAATCATGAAGTTGATGCTCAAACTCCAACAACTGTCCAAGAAAATTAAAATTAGGTGCAACGCTGTTTCGTCCAGATTTAACAACACTAGAAAATCGATAGAAATGTTAACAATTAAACAACGGTAGACAATAAATTTATTATACAATTACATAAACTACTTCTAAATTGGCAAACATAATGGGACTGTAATATACAAGAAGAAAAATATAGTTAAATTTGCATACAATTTTTAATTCTTTCCTAATTTAATAAAAGCAAAAAACAAATTGTTGCTAAATTGATAAGTTTACGCACAAAGACAAAGTAAATACTATCTATTGAAAAAAAAAACATTTTGTAAATATGATGTCCAATTTACAAAAAGAGTTGAAGAATGTATATCTCCAGTGAGGAGGAAAAGCGACCTGTCATGTACCAAAGTTTGAAGTTAACTATGCACAAAAAAGGAACAGCGTTTCAAAATAATACGTTTCAACATTGAACGACCATAAAAATCTAGAAGTCCATCGAAATGTTCTTTCCTAAATTTGCATTTTCCCTTCATTCAAGATAACACTATGGTGTAAAGAGCAGCCAACAATGAGTAACACGCCTAACAATTTCAACCGCTGAAGTTGTCGAATTCTATAAACTAACTTACCTTATCAACGCAAAACTACGTACAGAACTTAAACAACAATTCACCAATGGCTCCATCGCACAACACCCAATAGAAGTAGAGATTGTGTTATTGAGAGGTAGACCCGTCTTTTTAAAGGTAATCAGCATCGTTAACACCACGAACATCTTATTTTGATGGTTACCAAGGAAAATTCTACGTATTTGTGTC